GAGTAGAGTGTCTATAAAGATGTTTTTTTATTCCGGAATTCTTAGTAACAATTTTGATATATGATGTTTTAGGAGGTGGAAGTAGACGTCAAAGGAAGGACAAAGGGTGAGATGGGAGCAGCTAAGACCCTGTGTAGCCCCTTTGATCAGCCAGAACTCCCAGAAGGTACTATTGTTATCATTATCAATTTGAACTGTAATTTTTATGTTTGATGTTTTAAACTTACTCAGCGAAAGCCAAACATTTTTATGGAGTTCAAGATGAGTGGCATTTTTTGCAACTTTTAAACACTGCAGCTCCCACATACTGATTAATGTTGCTCCACATTCTTGCATGTCCTCCCTACACTCAGACTTGAATGTCAACTTAGTACAGTTTCCTTACAAAATATTTGAATTAGCTAACAACGATTTTTGGATTTACACATGAAAGTTCGTTATTGTTGAACTATTAGTGGTTTATGTATGCATAACCTTCGACGTGATGTTACTGATGAAATTGTTTTCTAAAACCTTGTGTGGTTGTTTTTCCTTAGGTATCAATTGCTTTGCGTCAGGAAGACCTGCGAAGAAATGGACATACTGGGGAAGAAGTTACTAGGGTATTGGCTCCTGGTTGTGTTTTTGCCCTAGACTAAAATTAGAAAACTAGCATTATTGACGTGTATGATATGACTGGATCCGTGGGGGCAAGAAAACGGTAGTTTTTGTTTTTGTTTGGTTTGGGTATTTTTAAAGTGATAGTTTTACGTGGATATAATCCTACATGATTTCAGGATTTTTTTTTTTTTTAAACTCCAGATTAGCGTTGCGTCCTTGGGATGGTGTTGGTCCTGGTTGCCCCAGGGCAACTGGGGGACAATTATTAGTGATTACCTATCATCCATTATTTTGCCTTAAATGGACGCTAATGGAAATGGCATCAACGAGTGAGTTTTTTTAAGTACAAGGCCATGCAAAACGTGCATATAAAAAACAAATCATGTCAGACTAGCGAGCTTAATCATGAGTCATGACCAAGATCAGTGTCAGCCTTTGCTTATAGTGATTTAAGTTTACAAGAGTCGTATCTTCGTGGTTTTCTCATGTTTGTGATGCTTAAATGGTTTATCTTTTATTCTTATCGTTTGTATCGTTTTGTTTTTGTAATTCTTTGCTAGCTTTGTTTATTCAGGAAAAAAGCGGCCCCCTATACTGAGAGGAGCTTAGCAACCTAGTGACTAGTGAAAGCATCACGACCTCCCGCTCCAATTTAAGCGTACTATTTTTTTTTTTAACTCGGGGCCAGTGAATTTAAGCGTACCTAAAAGGAGACATTTAATTTCAAATTTCAAGAATTTGCTGCTACTAGCCTATTACCATTCAGAAATGGGAAGCTTTTTTGTTTTCCCCCAAAGGATTTGGATATTAAAAAATATAAAATATTTTTAATATTTTAAATTATAATTAATGTGTTTTTATCAAAAGTGTCTTTAATATTTAAGTTATTTTATACTTACTTTAAAATAAAATATTTTATTAAATAAAAATAAATATAAAAAGATAGTGTTAATTGAAAAGTAACTACATGATAATTATTTTGATGGAAGCGTGATTCGATTATAAATGTTTTACATTTTTAAATGAGAATATATTTTTAATAAAATTGTGAGATAAATATTTTTTATAACTTACAATTTAATTTTATATATTTAATATTAACTAAAAATATAAAATGTAATTAAATTTGTTATATATTGAATTTTTTTTTGCATGAATTTGTAGACGTATATAAACTTTTTATTTAAAATTAAGGTATAAAGATATTCATAAATATTTTATTTAGAAGTTTCCGTAATAATATACGAGTATCTATTAATTTTAGAAAGGTGGTCAATTTCGATTCTTTTTATAAAGTTAACAGAAGATTGGGAAAGTTTTATTCTTTTTATAAAGTTGGTTGGTGCAATTTATTATTATTGACTAAAAAACACCGAATGTATTTGAAAAAAGTTTTTAGTATTTATATATTTGCATTTTAATTTTTATTTATATATATAATTTTAAACAGTAACATGCGGCCAACGAACTTAGATACACAACATCAGTACTGTTATGGAGATGAAATAGTAAACACGTTAGCATAATAACGAAAATTATTTTTTTGAAAAATCTGGTTGAATTACTAATCTCATAATAATATATTATCTCTGTTCCAAGATTTAACATTTTAAAATAAAATATTTTTTTGTCAAAAATAAAATTTCATTAGTAATATTTTTCTAATATTATTCTTCTTATATATTTTCTCTCTTTAATAGTATTTTTTAAATGGAGTATTATTTTTAAAAGTTTATATTTTTATTTTTAAAAAATTATAAAGTATATTTAATAAAATTTATTAATATGTATAATTTTATTTAAAAATATTTTATAATTTAATATAGGGGTAGTGCTATGTAGCCAGCTATGTTTCGATAGCAATATAAAAAAAAAAAAGAAATAGGTCAATTTTTTTTGTATTAAGTGCTTATCCGGAAGGCCCAAATCATCAGCGATTTATGTATTCTGGAGGCCGATGTCGAGTAAGTGAACCAGAAAGTAATTGTTGGCCAAAAAAAAAAAGGATAATTAATCCACAACTTTTTAAGGATCAAATTTGTCTGCACAGGTCAAGTTATTTGATTCTTACACTATGTTTGTTGGAACGAAAACTTTTCGCAATAATATAGAGGATCCCCTTCCCTCCCTTCTCAACCCTGCCCTCCAGATGGGTATTTGGAGAGATTTCTTCCTCCCCTTTCCTTTCCCTTACTTTCTACAACCAAACGTAGTATCCAAGGATGCTCGAATTCATATATTATAAAATTGAATATTTGCAATTTGTGAAGCCCTGAGCAAAATATTAGTTCTCTATATTCACTTTTTTTATTAATATTTAATAGGTATTTTTTATTGGAGACAATTTCACTCGAGACACAGTTAGACATTAAACATAAATACCTCTCTCAATAAAAATTTGAACATTATATTGTGAAAGAGTAGCTTTATACAGAAAGAAGTTTGTATTCCGGCAGCCTTCCGTCAATAATGGACTATTTTGGTGCATAATTATTTGAAGAAAGGAAAACCAGATGAAAGAAAATAATTTTAGTGAGTTATGGTAAAGTGATTATGTTGAAAAGTGGAGATCACATTACCTATATTTTCGGGAAACTTTAATTTCCTATTTTTTTAAAATCCTTCCCTATTCTCATTTTGCACCAAATGAGCCCCAACTATCCGAGAGCAGCAGCCCGTGTTGTGACTGTTTTTTTTCCCCCCAGAATAGATTTGGTTTCTCCTTTTATTTTTTGAGAGAGAAGCTTCATTAATGGGCATAGTAATTGTTTCGTTCTAAAATAAAGAGTCAATTAACAAAAGCACAGGGTAACAAAAGAGAAAGGAATAAGAAATGTCAGGCCCAATATCAAGGCCCGGTCCATTCCCAGATAAGTTTCTGTAATGAGAACATGTTGAGGCGAGGGATGTAATCCTTAAGACTTGGAGTGATTAAACATGAAGGACCGTTAAAGAGACATGAGATCATTATCTAACGTCTCATGAATCTTGCAAAAACATGCCCAGTGATAACAAATATTTCGCATATAGGCTCTTGATTTTTCAGGCCCAACGATCTCATGCATACAAGTATAAAAGGGGCCCAACTGGTGAAATTAGGGGACGGACTTTATTAGTCTGTACTTAGAATTAGACTTTATTATTTCAATTTCATAGTTGTAATCACTATAACTTTATACTTCAATTCCCATAATCAAACCATCTTTACATCATCATCTTCACATCTTTGCATTCGGTCAAAATGAGGTAAGGGAGTTTGAGAACTATTTTATCATATTTAAGACTGTTTCCGGAACGCTCGGTACTTGGATTGTTCAAACACAACGACAATTTGTGATGAATATTATTGTCAATTATTGTTAATATATAACCTCGTTTAACTTGATCTCTCTTGCTATTAGAAGCGTGATTCGTTGCCATCGGGGCGATTCTTCTGTCAGTTTTGACATACTTTAAGTGTTGTTAGGTCCAAATGGTGGTAACACTCTAAGACTAGTGATTTCTCTTCTCACAATAATATTCAGTGTTGCTTAAGAATAAGATCAAACCCCTTCTATTTGATCAACGGCGGTCGCTGACGAGCGATGTTCTTTTCTGTATTTTAGTCAAAAGAGAGGAAGAATGTATTTGAGGAAACCTTGATATATTATCTGGCATATGCCTATAACTTCGACACGCTAAGATGAAAGAGGATCGGAGACGAAGAAAGATGAACTGATTGATCCAGCAAAGTGCAAATTTTAGATTGAAGCATATGAATTGATATTTGCGTCAAAAGGACGTGACTATGAGGTGCGAATTTCACACAGAATCACATACTTTTATGTCACCCCTATTTGATTGCATGAATCAATTATGGGAAGGGATCTACTTTTTCTACGTTATTACTACTATTTACATTTCGATTATAACACAAACAAACTTATCATTGTTGACCATTTAAAAATCATTTTAACTGTAAATTAAAATGAAATTACGCGACATTTTTTTTTTTAAAATCGCGTTTAATTACATAGTAAAACTATACGTAAATAACAATAGCATTGAACTACGTGAATATTGAACTTGAACTTGGGAAACCAAGTTCTTGGATCCAACGTCATGTGTCTGTATAATGTTCCGAAATTAAACTTAATGCTTGACCGGTTACATGTTCACACGCATTGCAAATTCACTTTAAGAAGCTTCGGGCTTACAATAAAGAAGTTAGACGACTGAACTCCGTGTGTGTGTGTGTGTGTGTGTGTGTGTGTGTGTAGAAGTATTTTTGTGACGTGTAATTTTCCTGCGCATGCAGCTGGAAAGCTTACACTACCTACGCGAGACGGCCGGACTTAGAATCAGGTATAAGTTCGGTACAACATAGTATAAAATAAAGGAGCACAACTGAAGCTCTCGTCTTATCCTGTAAAGTTTTACTTCTTGATTATTACTTAAAAACTGAAGGAAAAAAATGATAACAATGGCAATAACAAAGATAATAAATATGGTCTTCTCTTGTCCATCGTTTCTGTACATGCCAAAACCAGTGGCGGATCAAATTTGAGACGCTAGTTGGTGGAGAGCGTGGTGCATGAACGAGGTAGTTGCGGGGAGACAGGCAGCACAGGCATGGGGTTAAAGGCATTATTTGGATTATTAGTATTCATAGCAACTCCGGTAGGTGAAGCAACCGTGTTATTACTTGCTGCTCCGCGGCTGCCGGACGCCCCTATGATAGATGATATTGCAGCCGCCAGTGCTGCAGTCAAATTGGGATCAGAAGCAATGGCTGCGCTCACCGTCTCAACCATGGGCAGCTTTTGCCCTACTTGAAGCTTGTTCTGCGGGAACAACATGGGATGTGCTATGAGCTGTCCCGGCGGACACCCATGCAGCATTACTGGCACAGGAAAACGGGGCCCTGATGAGGGGTGTGCTCGTTGCAGCTGCAAGCCACCGCTGTGGACTTGGGTCAAGTCCAGTGTGATAGTTGGAAATGGTGCAGACGCCGACAGAGTGGCCATAGATGCGTACGGGTAGGCCATAGAACACATATATCCCGCTGAAGGTGTTAAGCCTTCCTTGCCCGTACTTGAGGTTGAACCGGACAGGAGCATTGCCGCCGCCGCCGATGTTGTATTCGCCATTGCAGTGGCTGCCGGAGGAAGGGGGTGGTTGTGATTTCCTTCGTAGGTTGTTATCAGCACTGTCTTGTCCTCGGCACACCTTTGCACCTGTTGAAACAGAATATTAGTTCCGCTGGTTGGTCATGAAACAAGGGAAGAAAAACCATGAACAGATATGGAAAGCTAGAATTACACGAACCTGCTTACGAACTGGGCATCCTACGGCCATAGTGCAACGATAATAAGCACGGGGACAAGGATTACCCTTCGCCATTTTTTGACCATATTTTCTCCATTGACATCCATCACTTATCTGAAACAGTGGAGAGTTTAGTCATTTCCCCATGCTGACTATCTACACATGCCCAGAGATCAAATTAAGAGAGATATAGAATTAGGTACCAGAGGAGCTTCGGATCTTGCACGTACGGAAACCCTGGCTTTCCTGAAGGCGACCTGATCCGAAACTTGTTCGTCTGATCTCTTGGATTCTTGTAACTTGGTGCTCATGGATGACTCCCAACTCTGAGTAGAGGAGCGGTCAAAAGCATCTTCAGGACAAGCTCGCTTCCCAAGAAGTTTAGTCAAATGGTGTTCACGTTGGTTTGACATAACCTCCGCATTGTTTGAGGGCGCCGAAGATTGGGTCTTATCATCGGAAATAGATGGATTATTAATCTCTAAATTGGTAGATGGCTGTGGGTCCATCAACTGTTTCCCCGCCACTATGCCATTTGCTTCGACCTTCTGTTTCGATAACCACTGGATTAATTTGATCATTACTTGGATTTCTTGTGTACCGCAGATTTAGACACACAGTTAATATAGCTCTATATTGGCATTGCCATGCATTGACTGTAGTCTATATACATATTAACACTACTTTTATCTACTGTGGCGAGAAACTACGTATTTTATTTTCGTAGATAACAATAGTAAAATTAAAAATATAAATTCTTGAGAATGAATTCTTTTAGTAAGGGTTCAAACGTTCAAGCTAAGTGAAGGGAAAATTCGAAATCCAAGTGAAGCATTATAGCGCCTTTCAACTACTGATCGAGCGCGCATAGAGAGAAAGAGAAACCAAACATACACGTATGATAAGAAATACTGAATCTATATTGATTAGTTAAAAACAAATGATATTCGGTTCATGGAAAAAGCACGAAAATCCATGGTATATGCGGCAGTTTAACAATTCAGTCATATTACTTTAACTCGAATAAAAATTCACCTTCATAGGGTTTTGTTTTTGCAAAGCGATGAACAGCTGAGCTTGCAGTTGGCTATAGCTTTTGGTGATCTGGTCGAGCATAGTTCTCAACTTCCTGTTCTCTGCATGCAGTCTTCGTAATTCACCTTGGACTGTAATGAGCTGAAAATATGAAACGAGAAAAACCACTAGTTTGCAAGATTCCATAAGAAAAATTATAAAATTGACGGGACGATGCATACCTCGGTATCAGGATTTTCATCACTTGCTGCTTCTGAAGTTCCATAACTTAAACGCGTTAGATTTAGGCCGGTCTGTCCGAATGCAAGAAAACAAAAATTAATTAATTCAATCGAACTGAGTTGAAGTGGGAGCCGGACTGTGAATTGATTTGAAACCTCACGTTTACAGGCCGAACAGCAGAAGGAACCGATCCATGTCCATCATGGCGGTCGTCAAGATCCGGATCCCGAGGCGGGCTAGAATCACAGCTTTTGTCAACGGAACGGGAGAAGAAATCCATTTCTTTGATGGGAGGATGGCGGGGGCCGCTGGGATTCTCTGTTATCGGATCTGAATTATTCGTGGGGAGCAAGTCGCCGGAGCCCAAGAAGGTCAATTCACGACGGGGATGAGGGCTTTGATCCATGACGGTCGACGAGAGGGGAGTGGGACAAGGAGGAACAAAGGAGCAAGCAATGGTGATTTGATTCAACACGAAGGTTTAAAGGTCGTGAGGGGAGGGGGCGGGGGGTCCAAAAATAAAGAAAAAGTACCAAGGTCCAAAGAATCGAAAAGAAGAGTTAATGAGAGAAGAGAAGAGGGAAGGGCTTCGCGGGAAAATGACGTAAGCTTTTTTTTTTTTTTTGTTGGAGGGGGGACAATGAACCCACGTGGAGGAGGTCGCTTGAGGTCAACCCGCGGCTCAATGTGACGGTGGTTGGAGTTGGGGTGGGGCCCACTTGAATAGCAGAACCTAACTCACTGACTTTGAGCCCCCGCCCCCTGCGTCATCGGGATCACCCGCCACGTCGACTAACACTCCTCCGCCTTCCCTCTAATTCAGATAAAAAATGATTGACTGCCTTCTCATTTGTAAATCACCATTTTCTCTTCTCTCTGTTTGGAGTCAATACGTTACAATGGCCACAAGCAGCTCGTGTATAGGAGTGAAGAACCCACCACAAAAAGGGAAACGTTAGGAGAGATGTCATAAGTGGCACCTTCGCCGTGGAGATATTGTCTTCGGGGAGCTAGCCAATCTTCCCGTCTGTTAGCTTCTCTTGATATATGATCCAGAGTAACAATCTAATTAGCATGTTGACAACCTTTGATGGGCGATCAATGGATCCTTAAGTTTTTGAAGTTGATGAGTCTCAAGGTTTTTGTACAGCTGGTCAAGCTAGGTTATGGTTTTCTGATCATCATGACCGTTGTTCTATCGGAGTTTAAAATTAAGACTCTAAAATTTCAAAAACATCAGCAGAAGTTCAAAAGGGCATGAAACCAAGATTTTTGTTGTATGTGATGCCCTGCAACCCATTTTCGTTCCAGGACTGTCTCTTAGTAAACCTCTACCAAGCAGCTCCACCTCCTTGAGCGACGGAACCGTCCGTGTCAAGTCCAGCGCAACCTTCCTGATTTCCAGACAGAGTGAGAATCTTTGTATCCTGGGTTCAAAACGTTCTTTAAAATCCAGAATGACATTAATCACTATTTTTTTTTTCAATTATATGTCTGTCTTCATTTTTTTGGTACACCATCTTCATTAAAATTGATTATATGGAGTAAGAGACATAATTACAGATAGAATTGGTCAAATAATAAATTAAGTGTATGATTTTCAAATTTAAAATTAAGTGCATAATTTAAAAGATGAGATATTACTTAGATTTCTTAATTCTTAATTTATAAGCTATTAACGCTTAATGATCATTGGGTCCAAAAAAAGAAACTTAATGACCATAGATAATTGAAGGAGGACTATCGTAGTTTCAATCCGTTTGGCAGAAAAGATTGACCTTGATCACGATGATTAACACAAGTATATAATTAAACGGATTATGGCCCATGGAAATATTAATCTCGATGCCTTCCACATCAGCTTTCTAATTTCGACTTATAACTACTTTATTTTTTTCTTGCACGCAATTTATTAGTGTTTTATGACTATTTCTTCTGAACTTACATACCTTGCTGCTTCCTTGTTCAAATTCTGAAGTCTCTGACTCTATGTTTATGTTACATCGTGGGTAAATAAAGTGGAGGATGTTAGGTTATCAAAATACCTCGCCTGATTACTCGCTTCATTATTGGAAAGTATAGCATTTTTTCTCAGCGCTGAGACGTCCCTGAATAACTTGCACCCTTTTTTCCTAACTCGTGTCTTGGATAACAGATATATCACACTATACGATGACTGGAAGAGTCTTTTTTTGTTTGAAAAAAATATCGCCAGAGTTAATTTGTATTTATTTTGTCCACACAGATAAATCAATATTATCGTTCGCACGCCACATAAATACACGTAGAAATAAAAAGATAGAAGATATATTTGGAAATTTAAAAAGAAAATGCATTTAGAAGATGGGTACAAAGACTGGGAGTATTGTATCAGCCGACAGCAACAGAATAATCAATGCCGTTTTATATAACTAGTGAATCTGACCAAACTTTATAGCCTAGTTGGCCACGCCAAGTTCAAATATATCACCTGGCACGATCAGGAAACGTGAAGAATTGAACTTTCAGGTTTTGGGATCCTCATAAGTAACCCTCTGTTTATTTAATTTAATCCATTTATTACTCGGACGCCATTGTATCGCGTCATCCAGAGGTTGATTTTTCTCTAGCGTTGAATAAATGTAATTAATTAATTACATATTAGATCATATTTACGCACAGCGCTTTGGAAAATTGGTTTTACTTAAGCTTCCTTATTATGTCACCCAGCAAACATTCAGCGCTCGGAAATATTTTTGATTTCAGCTTTTGCTAGTTCTTTTTCCGACTCTCTCATGCCACCGAGGAGGAAAATTCTCCCTTTACCTAGCTATCTATCCTAATGAATATATATTAAATATATTGTAATTTAACCCTCTCCCCTGATACTCTCTAGGGTTTTTTGCATGGATCGCCGTCTATCTTCGGGTCCTACATTTTATTAAAAAAAAAAGGCTTTTTCTCTTCCCTATACTTTAGGGTCTATTCCAAATCAAAGCTTAAATAAAGGACAGCAGAACTTCAAAGTTCAAACACTCATCTCGCGCGATCCCAGCGTTTTAGTGTTATTTATACATTACATGCACAAGATCTCCGTTTTATTGGTCAAGGCGTGGAAAAGGAAGTGGATGTTTTCAGATACGTCTGCGCGCGTCTGTGTATCTGACTATTCATCGGTGTCTACATTTATATGTGCATAGAATATGCTACGGGAACTAAAATTATATTTCTTGATATGGTTTTTCTCTGATATTAATGGACTGTTAATAAGGAGTGTTGCAGATAAAATGAAACTCGGATGGGTGATGGTCCATATACAGCTGCAAGTCAATGCCGAGTTGTTGAAGTTTCGTTGGTATTCTTCTTTCTCTGTCCACAGCTTTGACAAAGATGGCACTTCATATAGACTACAGGTGTTCGACTCTTCATCAGATCGTGATATTAATTGTCCAAAAAAGCATTCCCTTTACAAAAGTATATTAACTGTACTTTTTTCCATATATTTTGACACAAAAAAAAACTATTATGTAAATTAACCTAGCTTGGAAGTTAATTGGAATCTAATTCATTCGAGACAATATTGAGCTCGTGGAGGCCTTGCATGCGGTTGCGGCGTTGAAAATGAACATGGTAATAAATTATATGGAGGCGGAGAAGATTAAGGGTCAGGAGAGACCCCACACTAGGGTTTGCCCGCACGTTCAATCCAAAGGGATCATGAGTACCACAAGCCCAACCTTCACGTGCATCCCCACCCTATTTCCTTCGCCTCAACCTAGCTTAGCTATCTATCCTCCACTGATCTCGCACCCCAATTATTAGGCCTCCACTATTAGCCTTCTACGCTTCCATCCCTGACTTTTAAACACACTACACATCTGTGAAACAAATAATAGAATTTGTTTCGTTACCACCATTTTTAGTTCCGAAGGACTGTGCTGCGCGGGCAAGGTTGATTACAGTCAATCCATGTCTGTTGAAGGGGAAAATTGAACGAAACACAACGTTGTAACATTGTACTATATATTAACCCGTCACTGGGTCAATTTTGGCTAATTAATCTTTCCCGTCAAATTTTGAAAACCAGAATAAAAAAATAGTTAGTCTGAGATGAAAAGCAAAAAGCAGCAGCTAGGGAGATTAATAGCTAAACAGTGCAGGAGTGTTGCGATCCGATTTCCTCGTTAAGGATCCTCAGGATTATTGAAACCGACAAAGGTGTGCTTTTCACGAGTCTTTTTAATATATAGAAGCTTGATGAAATTGTATTATCACATATATATTATTTCTAATTATTCTCTTTGTATTATACTTGGCATAGCCAATAAGGCAATGACTTTTCGGCCATAAAAGTCACGGTTTTGAGTGGACCAAGCTGCGGAAGATAACGTTTCGAGAATAATTGGAAAAGAGGGAGACCTCATCTGTATGGAGAAGCCTCGTTTTCAACAGAGTGTCTTCTTTGGCTTTGAACGCAACTTTGTCTTATTGCTTTTTCTCGGGATGTAATTGCTTCCAGAGAAACCAGTGAATGACAGTAAATTAAGTAAACGCTCACCCACCCCCTCTCTCTAAGTCCTGCCTTCAAAATCTTCAACCTAATTAATCGCTATATTATACGTTTAGTCATGGCTACCATTCTTGGCTTTTAGTCGTGACGTGTACAAACAAGCCTCTTGTGTCATACACACCAAGCAGCCCTCTGTCCTGCCCATAGTGTGACGAATTATTTAGCTAGCTGTTCTTTTGAGTTTTGATAAGGGAGAAAAATGAGCGCAGCACGTTTTATATTTCTTAGCTTATATATTGACATGTATACACGTAGCCGCGCTTGAAAAGGATAGTATTGCCCTTATATACTTTAAAACAATGACAGAAGAAGACTTCATTAACCAGCTAATTGTGGCTGTTAATATGGACACCAAGTTCGAGCATATAAAGCTAATTGTAAGAGGTTGGCCAAGTATAAAGGCTAGCTACAAGGAGCAGGAAAACTAAAGGAAGGCATATTGAGCTAGAATTTAGGGTTTGGTCCTTAAAGTGGCTCGCTTAGCTTTTTACTACTTTAATTTGGAAACCGAGTCGCAAGCGGAGAAAAGAAATCAAAGGCTGAAAGATCACCGCAATAACTGGCATTTGCCCCCACACATACTTCTCATTTCTTAACCTTTTTTCCCTGCTTTATTTGGGTAGTCTGGAGAGGAAGAGTCCCAAAGAATCAGAATTGAGAGTCACCCGCTTTGCTTTAAACCCATGCTGGTCGATGCAATGGACCATTGGAACAAAAGTTTGTTTCTTTGTTCTTTCGGGATGTTGTCGGGGAGAAATGGTTTCCTCTACCCTTAAATTGCTACAGACTTCATATTTTAATAATTTAAGATGATTTTTTAATAAATTTTTAATAATCTAATGACGAATTGATTATAAATGCGGGTGTTATGGCGGTCATTGACGGGATGGTTTTGATTGGGTCTCTCGGCTTAATTTGTCAACTGCGTCGTCCTGTCATCAATGAAAAAAAAAAAAAAAATCAATCTTCATTTCTTGTTGACGTTCTTCTGGACGTGTACCGATTCCACAATTGACCAAAAATGAAACACTCAACCTTCTCTCACGGTGCGCACCTGCCCTTTTCACTTTCCTTGTATTTCTTAAATAACTTTCTATATATCTCAAGACTCAAGATTTTGGCCCCCAAGCCAATAAAAACCATAAGGCTGAAATAATTATTAATTGGGTCAAATCATAAAAATATCTTGAAACTTTTTTTTTGGTACACATGGTATTCTAAACTTTTTTTTAAAGTATTTTTATCTTATAAATTTTAAAAAGAGTATTTTTATTTTACCGTTAAATATGAGGAACATTGACTAATAATTAAAGTTTGATCAGGATATTTTACAATTTTTTCCTCCCTCAATTCTATATTTTTCTGCCTTTTTTCCTTTGTTGAAAAAAGAAAATTTAAAGAATTTACTAGATAGCAAAATCAAAGAGTAAACACAGGAAGAAGGAGAAAAAAATGCAAAATTATCTTTGGTCAAACTTCTAGTTAACGATCAACGTTTTTTATTTTTAATGATAGGGTGAAAATGTTCTCTTTTTAAAACTTGTGAGACAAAAATACCTTAAAAAAATTTGTTGGATACCAAGCATTCATGAAGAACAAGTTTTAGAACATTTTAACCCTTTAACCTTTATAAATTATATAAGTAAGTAGGCACGTTTTCAACGTATTAAAAGAGTTTGGAAATAAAGTAATTTATGGTGAATGTTTTATTTTATATCGGTTATTTCAGTGTGGCCAATTGTACACATGTATTTGAGGATGCATCAAGATTAACTAGCTAGGCCCTCATACATTTGTGTACAATGCAAAACGGTTCATATTATTTATAACTTACAGAAAAAATGAATGATTTTAGATATTCAAAAGAAAAAAAACTAAAGAGAAAAAGGTCTGGGCCTTCTTAGAATGAATACCTTTTGTAGGCCGAACCTTAGGACGAATACCTTCTCATTTGCAGAGAGGCTGCACGAAACATCGGGTGGGCTCGGGGTTGAACCTGTTTCGTACTAATCTAACTTTCAAAATTGTAACCACTCGCACAACTTCAATATGATGCGATCAGCGATCACTAGTACATAGTCACAATCATAGGATGAAAATAAAAATGGGAATTACAGCAGAACAGCACGCTGGAAAAAAATGCTTCGTCCATCGCGGTCAATTAATATACATACATACATACATGATAATCATACGCGCATTTAACACCCGAATGCATCTATTCTGGTGATCCTCAATCTCTTTACGGTGGATAAGAACATCCTATACGCAGAAACAGGATCGTGATCGTTAGTCATTCATTATTTAGCGGCCACAGGTCAAAATGATTGGGTTTCTCAGAGGACTTAACCCAAGTCATAGATAACTTACTCCCAAGGGATATCTCCAACCATGATCAAGTCCCCTTCGTCGTCTTCATAGGTTAGCACATGCCATCGTCTCTCTGCAGGTTGAAGTACTTCCTCCATCTCAGAGCCCACTGTTCGCAACACAAACTCGTCAAAGTTTAATCTTTTCATTTATTATTTTGACTAAACAAGCAGATATAAAGTAAGTTGCACAATATATGGATCGATATCAGAGAGCACTACTTGCACTAGAGACTTAACAGACAATAGTGGTGTCAAACATGTGCTCGAGCGTCTTTATTAACTCGTGGTAGCCATCTTGAGCTAATAGATCTAGTTTTCTGCCTATTAGAATCCCTTCCATGTACACCTTTACAAAGAGGCTGCAATCATTTACTTCAGCCGCACGTGAACTGCTTACCAGCGGCCTATTATCCGAAGGTGCCCCCCTATGATGAGAAGGAAACATAAAAAGAAATGCTCGGATAAGTAAATGTGGCTGAGGTTCATTGGGGCTTGGAATTTAGCAATGTTGTTGTTGAATATACATACCTTGAAATACAAGGGTAGAGATGTGGGATCGGTGAAATGCTGAGTCCAAGACTTAGATCTGTAGGAAGGTGTTTGAGAGAAGATGCGGTTGAGAAAGCTGGGTCCTTGCTGTTACTGCTAATCGATGACGAGGATGAACTAGAGGTTTTGCCCATTGTGGAAACTGGAAACTAGCTAGATAGGTTACGCCACCTTAAGACTCTTAATAAACAGCGCAAGAACTCTGGACTTTGCCTCTTTTTCTTTCTGCCGTAAGATTGGCAGAAGCTCCAATGTCGTCATTATAGCCGACAACCTCACACTTGTCAACTAATTATACCAACTCAGCATAATTTTGTTTCATTAGAACTTTAATTCGAAGCGTCCGAAACACGAGACACGGTTGCAAGGGAATGAATGTAGACTCTGGTCAAAATTCATGGACGGGTTCAGGTGGACAAGAGGAAATTAATGTATAGACCCGGTAAATTTTATCAATGTTCAATGTATATAATCCTCGTGTGTTGCGCCTGAGAGACCTTTAGTTAATTCCACAGGTTCATTGGCATTAGCAGTTAGCAAGTTATATTAGAAATGCTTTTGCATACCGCGAGAGAAGAAGTACAGTAGTGAAGGACATCCTAGAACTCTCTTGTATGAATTTATTGTGGAGTAAAAGGATAAAAATTTTCAAAAATTCATTAATTATAGGCATCCAGCAGTTTAAAGTGATAAAAGTCCAAAAGTGTTCAAGAAGTTACCACCAAACTGTTAAAAGTAAAAAAATGTGATCATTATGTTAACAGTTTAATTACAGTTACATTAAAAAAATAATTTTATGAACACTCATGAACTTTTTTTTACTTTAAACTATTGCAATACTCAGCTCTTAATAGATGACTCTTGAATATTTTTGTTCTTTTGCCCTTTATCGCAACTTAAGCCGAATTGGCAAGAGACAAGTGTCTCTTTTCAATAGTCTCACAGAAAAAAATTATTAAACCTTATCATTATCTCTCTCTCTCTCTCTTTTACCCATTCTCTACTTGATTGTGAGCGAGCAATGTCCCTAACCTTAAGGGTTAAAAAATCTAAAGCAAATAATCGATGATTAAGAGAAGGAAACGATAAAATCTCAAACCATGAATAACTCGACAAGTGTAAATGCGGCAATGATATTTCAAATATGACAATGATATTCGACCTTTTGGGGACAGCCAATCAACTCTATTTGGCAACAAAAGCATATATGCTTACAGACCAAACAAAGAAAAGACGCATACTGACATGCCGCTGTATATAAATACCCTTCATTTCTTCTGCGTTCAACACCTCGCCCCCACGTGTGTGTTCACACGTCACATATTGGATTTAGTTTCTAGGTTCATTGATAGCTCAGAGAAAGGAAAGGAGGACATGTTTGCTTCGATGTAAAGACATGGCAAATGGTATAGTATTTTGAGATTACATTTTCAAAAGGATGGAAGAAAGAAACAAGCAAAATGTTCCCCACTAGCCCAGCCATGAGGTTGCTTGGATGAGACAACAATGTGCCGTTTGGTCTGTGTGTTGAAAGTTGAAACACAGAAAAGCAAGCAGAGCGTAACCTACATATCCTCGTCTTTCCCCGATACCCACAGACCCCGGTAGTTTTGTTATGCATGCCTCGCGATGTTAAGACCGAATCGTTTAATTTCTTTGCTATCCCTGTTCTTTTTCATTCCTTGCCACTTCCGCCGTTTGTTATCATCATTGCCCAATTTTGAATGTATAACAATAGGTTAAATTCTACGTTTGGAAAAGCATTGTCCTCTTCATTGTCAAATGACAGCATAATAGGGCTTGTTTGTTTTACTGTAAGCAGGGGCCACAAAGAGACACGCCCCCTCACTTTTTCTTTTTCTTTTTTAATAAAATATAAAGATTATATATTTCAGTCCTCTAACTTGACATATTGCTTAAGCTTTGATATATTGAAGCGAGTTCTCATTTTAATTTTACATATAATCTTTTATATACATATACAATGCTATTACATTAGTATTCTTTGAAGATATAGCTGTTGTGGGATATATTTCACACTTGATAAAAAAATTAAAAGCATTATTATTAATAAATTTTGTCAAGCATTATAACAAAAGTATCAAGATATATTAACTATTATGTGCTTGATATCTATCATAATATTACTTATTTAAAAAAAAAAAGATATTATGGCTATGTTCTTATAGACAAATTTACTTTTTTTTGGTAATAACCAAGTTATTGAACTATGATATAAATGGTTTTTATTTTGATATATATGATTTGACTTCATATTGATATAAAAATTTTCTAACAATTATCTACAATTATTGTGTTGGTATATCTACGATTGTCATTAATTATCAATAGAAAGAATTAAATTGTAAATTTAATGAGTAAGTAATAGAACTTTTAAATTTAACACAACTTTATATGTTAAGATACATTTAAATCATTCAATACTCAAACAGAAGATGAAATTTTTCTCCAATTTAATGATAGTTTATATTAAAAATAAATTTATTAAAAAGTTTTCCATAGAGATAATAATTGATGATTTTTATGCAATGAAAAATCAATTGGCAAACTTAAAATAAAAGTGCATTTTTTTTAAGAACAAAATGCACATTTATTTTTTTTATATATTTTTAAAATTGAATATAATTATGTATGTTAAAATATTTATATTATGTTAGTAATATTATATATATATATATATATATATATTCTATTATCATATATACTTTGTCATCTTGATTTTCTAATTGAAATTTTTGGTTCCACCTCAGATCATAAGGGAAAATAAATACTCCCTTCATCTCAATTACTATAAAATATTTTTAGATAAAATTTTTTATACAATAAATCTCATTAAATACATTTTACAATCTTATTTTTTTAAAAAATAAAAGTATAAAATTTTTAAAAATACACTGTATTTAATATATTAAAAAGAGATAGACGATAATTAAATAGAAATATAAAGAATAATATTAAAATAAATTTATTTAACAAAATTTCAATCTTTCTAAAATATTTTATATTTTAAGGTGTCGGTCCTCTTTTGAAAATGTGACAGAGGGAGTAGCCCTTTTCTACCCTTTCTACTCAAACATGGTCTAGATCAAGCGCGATGGGATCTTCAAAAGGAATCGTGGCCTAGGCGGCTTGAAATCGTTTCCCTCATCTCGGATGGAAGTCCTGCACGTTAAATGTCTCCACGAGTAGTAGGAGACTAGAAGTAGAGCAGCGTTAGACCGATAGACACAGTGCGCCTCTCTCTTGTCCGACTTGATGGGTCATGCTCATGCATAACACACCACAAGAAGTTAATTTCACCGCCCCAGTTGCTTCTCCAGCTTTGTTGTTCGGAAAGTGTTTATGACCCACATCGGCCCATTATGAGAGGCCGTAGGACTTAATCCAAGCCCGTAGCCCATGATTCCCAGACAGTAAAATAGTAGGGTCACACTGACTTCATATTTTAATCCTTATTGTAATCCAGTGTGACATGTTAGATCTCCTACAAACTGGAGGTTGTGACCCGCTGGTAATGTCAACATATTAGTACTTGCCTCTATAATTCAAAAAAAAGAGAGAGAGATTTTTCTGAGGATCAACTTTTACGGAATAGTCATCAAAACAAAACTTTTACTGAATAAAAAAAATATTAAATTGGAAGCCTCGTACTCTTTTTTTTTTTTTGGCAAAAGAAAGACTCGTAGTTATATCTAAATTTGAAACTAAAATATCATTCTCTATCTTGTTTATATAGAGAGTGGATTCACACGATGCAGACAAAACATAAACGCATTGTTTAGCAAAAATCACGTCTTCGGAAGCTCCGCAGTACTCTTCCCATGCACTTTGATTGTAAGGGTTGGGCTTTTATTTTGAAGAAATGACAATTAAGAATCTCCTACAAATATTAATCTCAATTAAAGATTATAAAATATTAAAATTTCAGTCTTTAATTAAAATAAAAAATATATCTAACTTTATAAGATTTTTTGTCACTAAACACTAAAAATTACAGTTTATGTATGTGATCTCTATCTTCTTTTTTAGCGTGAAAAGTCTATTCTCATATGCTCTCGTGCGTGAAAAATATGAGTGAAAAATTAATGGAGTGGATCATCATCTAAGTCATCATCTTTTTTCTTAGCTTCTTAATAATAGATAATTGCATATATTGCCTCTTTTACATCTTCTCCCATTTTCATGTGTGAAAAAACTTTAGTTTCATCTTCTCTATCTTTTACATTTTTTCTGTCATGCATGAAAGTATTTTTATATCTTTATAAATATTATTTCACATCATTTCTTTTTTATAGTGTAGAAAAAATGTAATTTTCTTGACGGTCATGTAGATTATATATATACACATACAAGAAATAATTTATGAGAATGATAGTGTTAAAAAAATTGAGTGAAAAACAAAAAAAATATAACATAATGTTGAATTTTTCTGTTCTGTGATAAAAAGTGTGCTAATGTTGAAAAAAGTAACATGGTTGCTGAATTTTTATAATCATGGTTAGAATTATGGGAAGAATGATTGTAAAGTAATAAATTTGTATGTTACTTTTAATTGTTTCATATCTATTTTTATATGGCAAGTATTTCAACAAAATAAGTATTTTATTATTTTCACAATGAAGGGCATTTTGTAAAAAATTTAAAAAGAAAGATGACATATGAAAGCGGGAGATTAACCTCTAAATTGATTAAATAAGGTATAAATCATGAAGAACTGTTGAGAATGATATCATCAGTAACATGAGTTGAAAGTATTGTAGCTGACTTAAAATTGAAATATAATATGTTTTTATTTAGATATCATTTAGATAGATGAAATATTTTGTATGTAAAAAGAGATGCAAATATGGTGTATATGTACTAAAATTAGTGTAATATAATATTGATGTTCATTTCAAGTTTGAATATGTATAAGTGTAAATACTGTCATAACATAAGACTGTTGAAGTCACTAACATAATATAGGAATATTGTTATTATAATTTGTGAAAACATAAAACTCGACTTGAGAATAGATTTTTTTCTAATATTTCAAACTTTAAAATGTAACTAATGTCATAACACAAAACTCACTTTTAAAATGTTTCAAGATGGCTCATGAAAATACAAACATCACTTGAGAATTTACAACATGAATATAAATGTGACTGTCAAATTTCTTATTTATCAATATATAAATAAGACCATTTATGAATATATCAATGAGGTATAAAACTATTGCTATTGTATATTGAATATTAGATCAAAGTTTAAGAGTTTAAATTTATTTAAATATTTTTTATACAAAAAATAATAATGTTATAAAATATTAAATTAAAATAGTTGAAATTTTGATTAACCCAATGATAAAAAGAGGGTTTAAGAATTATTTTTATTTTTTAACTAAATATAAAAAATTATTAATGATTCTAAATTAAATTATAAGCCATTGATATTCTTCAACCTTAAAAATTGTGACTTCCATCATCATCCCATTTTGTCTGTTTATTTTTCTATTAGTAGGCTCACATTTTTTTTTTTTTAATGCTTTCTCTCTCTCTCTTCCTCCTCCACCTCCTTCTCTCCTTCCCCCGGCGTTTCCTTCAATGGGCCTTTTCCACTCATCCTCTGCCTCTCATTCCACTGCCAGGGCAAATGGCTTGGCCTTGCACCGCCATCTAGATTCAGTCTATTTCCCACAACAACATACTTTCTCCAACTACTCTTACGCCCTCAAATCCCACATGCATCTCACTTAAGTCAAGCTCAACAATCTTTTCGTCGCTAAAGATGTCGACTAGGCTTTTGGACTTCTTACTGGCCTTGCTTTTGATCGTTTCCCCACCTGGGCCATCCCCCTCGTTGGCTCCCTCAAAGGTCTTCTCTACTATGGCGTCCAATGGCTCGTCGTTAGCGCAATGTGGATGAACACGACAGTTTTAGTGATGTCCATAAGAAACTTTTGGAAAAACAAGAGACCAGTGTATGGCATTCTTAAAGGGTTTGTTGGGTTATGTACTGGATGCAGTAGTAAGGTGGCTACCATATGAATCTTGTTGTGTTTGCTTTTCTTATTTCTACATTGTCGTTCTCGTTGTTGAATATGTGGTAAAAAAATGGCAGATAGATAAAGAACAGAGGAGCAAAAGGCAATAGATGAATGGCTTCCCATCATATTTACTTCACTTTCCATAATGTCACTGCTATGGTCGACGCCGGTGTCCTCACTCTGCTTTCCACAAAATGGTGGCAGACGGAAATGGTGCCGGGAAAGAGGTTTGACGGATACCATGAATTGGGGCAGCATGCTTTTGGAGAGAAACTAGGACCGTGGATCGTTGTGCCGAGAAACAGGACGGTTCAACCGGTTTGACTATCAGGTTTCGGGTCTGAAAATAGTGGTTTTCCCATTTTCACTTAATAAAACCAAACCGTCTTTGGCCGGGGAAAAAGAAAATCCCAAAAAGTTTGTGCTTTCCCGCCTTTCTTCCTTTCAACGTTGGTGCAAAAATTTGGCAATCAAGGGACTCGGATATATTAGTCCGAAAGAAAAAAGGACTCATATTGTCCGTTTACCTTTGCTAATCGTCGATCCACAGACGCCAGAGCTTTCGGAGTTCTGTCCAGATTTCTTCGTGCTTTATTGCTGTTCATTCGAGTCAAACATGGTATTAATTTCGAAAATGGAAGTCTTCGTAGATTCTTTTATTATGCAATTTATTGTCGATGTCGCTCTTAGAACTTCATACCGAGTTTTTCTGTTTATGATGTAATTCTAGATCACATGTCTATTTTAGTCGGGATCGTTTGAATTTCGATAGATATCAGACTCGATTCATCTGTCCGTCGTTTTTTGAATTTTTGAATGTCTATCTTCGAGCATAACACGTTAGGTTCTTGGTTCGTGGATTTCAAATCTTGAGATATCTGGAATACTCGTTAGATTTTCCTGTTCATGAGTATTTTTCGGTTTAGTTTCTCCAAATATCCGTGCATATATTTAAAAAAACAAAGGAAGTCAAGAAACTCCCAGAATTTGTGGTTTGTGGTTGAATTGAAATCTCTGCATAATTTGGTTGTCCATCGGAAAGATGACCAAGTTTGTTCAATTCAGACTAAATGAAGGCACTGTCCCCTCGTACTATGAGTAAATGATGACTTTGTTGATCTCTGTAACCAATGTTGTCCTTGTATATTCCGTTGGCCGAAATAGAATTTGTGCTTTAGAAGTTTGATGCGATAACCAGTAAAGTAAAGGAGGAGGAGGACGATTTCCGTGAAAGGGCGAGGATATTACACCCACGATCTCACAGGAAGTCTTTTGAGCCTGACAAAACAAAACTAGAAGTCAAAATAAATGAAACAGAAAACAGAACTGAAATTCTGAGGATGAATCTGGGTCAAACTTTAGCCTAAGACTCATTATTTCATCAGAACAAATAAAAATGGGAGTGTCTCATGTTGCTTAAACGAACATCAGGGGTGTTCTCAGAAGAAAAAAAATATTCAGAGAAAGAAATTTGACCAGTGATGTTAGCCTCGGACCAGAAGGCAAGTGATGTTAGCAGTCCTGCATCGACCGAGTGCAAGAAGATTTTCTATGGGAGCTATGCGTAATGCCAGGACTTCGAAATTCGAATATCTAGGGGTCTGGCTGTAACAAAATAAGGTTGCAAAGGCAATCTTCTGTATCCCAGTAAGTTTTGGGTCTCCAATTTATGGCTTTGCGTCTTTCAATTTTGAAGCAGATTTATTTTGTTCCTGCCTTTTGCCGTTTCTTATCAGACTTCAGGAATTAAGAGCTTAAGGATTCCCATCCAGAAAAGCTGCATATTTTGTAACAGAGAAAGAGGCCCAGGACGGTCGGTCTGATTCATATTCTAAAGAGAGGAACTTCAAGAGATCTCAAGAAGGTTCGGCATCCGTCGAAGAAGGATATATGCATTCACTTCTTCACTCGTACCCAATTTGGCAATTGAGGCATCGAAGAGAAATTGTTGCATATTGGCTTAAGCTCTTGACAGCCATGAGAAGTGATAAGAATGTGGTTATCCTCGTGATTTATAGGAAAATCACCAAGTAGTATCTGCTTCTAATATTCATAGCTAATTTTCAAATCGTTCTTATGGGGAACAGTCAGGTCTTCATGCTTTGCGTTCTAGGAAATAAGTCACTTGGCAGAGGATTATATATCGTATATTGGTGACTTCCATATATGTTATGGATGCAGCGTGTGTTTAGTCCATCATAACCTCCGAAGCGACAAGTATATATCACTCTCTGTAAAGACTTGTTACAGCTTATACTAGAACTGCTGAATGTGTTCCCTTGTCCCTCTAGGTTCTCATTCAATTTCATATTTTTGACAGTCTTTGACGAAAAACTCCACCTTTGATGGCAGCGGACTGATGAGTTGGCAGTTGAGATGGATGGGACGGACACCACTGATCCTGGTAGGCCAGGAAATACTGAAAAATCGTCATATATGATTGTTGCGTCGAGTGTAGCAGGAATATGGAGCAGCATGCTCTTCAGAAAGTATTATGCTTTTGTAACAGTATGCATTTGATGACTATTTTTGCTGCATCTGTTCCATCAAATACCATAAATTTCTTCCTGTTCTTTTGAGTTCATTCAAGTTAAAGCCACTTTCTTATTTTCATACGAATTATATCAGTGTAGGTTCAAGAGAGACATTGCCGAGAAGCAAACTTAATGCTTAGTCAAATGAAGAAGCAGTGTAAGAACAGATTAGGGAAAAGTTAAGAACAAATTAAGTCAGTGAGAAGCCAGAAATTCTTAGATTCTGATAAATGTTGCTGAAGAGAGGCACCACCTGCTGCAGAATGTCTGCTCCCAGATTCACGCAGATACGTATATTCAAAAGATTGATGGATTTTTAAGCTTAAATTGCGACATAACTCATGTTTTAATCCTTCTTGAATTTTGTTTCAGAGAGAAGCCAGCAATTCTCAATAAATCAAAAGAGAGAGAGGCTAGAAACTTAAAAAAAGAAAGAGGCAAGAAACAAACTTTTGAAGGTAGTAAACTTTTTCACTCGCTATTAACTTGGAATGTTCAAATGAAGCTGTTCTAATGACTTTTTCTGTCTTTTTTTTTTTGGCCCCCATTTGAATTTTCCTTGGCAAACTCAAGTTGAAACATCCACCTTCCAGATCATATTTGTTTCTTAATGCATCAATGTGTATTTTACATTCTCTCTCGATTGTAACTGATGTGTCAAGAGGCACTAAATGGTTGTAAACTTCGCATGTTGTTCATACTACTAAGGCATTTATCTTGATTTGACTACATAATCACTATTTAAATACTGACAGTGCTGGACCTTGTCAGTCCGTCCTTGATGGTTTAGCCAAAGTCCAAGTCCATGTGCTAATATATGCCCCTAAATTAAATTATTAAACTAATTAAATTATAACGGGTTATTTTAATTTTTGAATTTTAGATTTTAATTTTAAATTCAAATTTAAGAACGTATTGGATGCTCAGAACCTCCTGGCTTAATAGCATTTTACATTCCTTCAAGAGAAAAGGTTGTGAGTTCTAAACCCAAATGTAGTATAGGTTGTGATGGGTGCATGTCAGAATATGTGTGTGTAATTGAAACATTTCAAAGAAAGAAGATATGGGTTAGTCTGCTGCGGGTTCATAAAAAGAAGGGTAACTTCCCAGCAGTTTTTCTAGGGTGGTGCAATATCATTGCATGCCTCTCCCCTCCAAGGCTCTCACAAATTTTCCTTTTGCTCTGCGTGAAATTTCTCATCTCCCTTAGAGGCGCGCTTGTGCTGTGAAAATCGAGTTGAGTATAGATCGATGATTTAACTCTTACAGTGGGTATTGGTGAAAAATCGTCAGAGCACTACAGGTAATTGCTCCAAACTCTTGGGTGGATGCAAATGAGCATAGGTAGTTCGTAGTTTATAGTGGTCCTTGCAGTGCTTCAGGTGTGGGACTGCCCGACTGGGGAGACTGATAAATGGGACATAAATCAACTTCATGTTCAGTTTAGCTCGGGACCAACTAAATGTGAATGAATAATTAAGTCTCTGGCTCTTCTTATATGTTTAACCCCACATGATGATTATTTATGATGCCGGTATGACTACACAATGATAGACATAGTGACGTTTTTAGTGCCTCAAGATTTTGTCTCGGTAATTAGGTTGCATTCCTTTCCTTCCTATCCTTTCCTTTCCTTTTTTTTTTTTTTTTGAATAATAGGGATTTGAGGTTAAGCCATATTGTGGCTGAAACTAATTCCGAAACCACATGTTCACTACATATGTCAGTTAACAAGAGATTCGAACAGCCTAAAGGCTATGTCTGTATATTAGTACCATGCAGCGAAAAATCTCGAGGCATACAAAGTTTTATACATGGTCAAATTAAATGGCTTTTAAGGTTGATTTAGAAGCATATTTAAAAATTTGGACGAGAATAGTAGCGTTCGGTTGACAAGGGTAGTGTTGGGAATAGTTCTTCCGAGTTCTGGACAATAACAAGTCTGGAATCTAGATGCGCTCATGTTTTTTTCATCACGAGGGTTTTAACACTTTCTATCTCGCATAACAGAAACATCACGCGCTCAGCTTCAATGATCTATCGCAAGAGCAAGAATCAGTGGACATCTAACTGAATGATACTCTGAGGAAAATGACAGCTGTCCAGAAGGCAAGTTTTCTCTCAATATTAATGGCATTAAAGTACAAGTAATACGTGCTAATTCAACATTTTCTCTGCCATTTCATGATTTCATCTGTATCACTTGATTCTGGGATAGCAACTAATACATTTCTCCATGCTCTTGCGTAAATTTATGTTGCACTCACTGGTCACATTGCATCTAGTGTTTCAGGATTGCCTCTCATTTAGGCTGCAATTGTGAAGTGTTACAATTACGTCAAACACTCTGTTATTCGACTGCGCGTATCAATTTTTTTTTTTTTTGGGAGGCATCGTCATCATTTGCCCCCCATTGTAATTGGGTTTCGGTACCTGTTGTCGTTCTTCTCTCTGTTTTATTTTCCCCTATTTTGTTTCTAGACTGTCATTTCCTCTCACAATATTGAAAGCTGTTACTTGTGGATCGCAGTTGGGAAAGGGCGAGCTGCTGCAGTTAAAGCACGCTATCTTTATGTTTAAAAGACGGTATGTTAAATTGATATGATTTCCATTAATATTTGCTAGTCAAGGAACTTCTACGAGACATGCCACTGTTTCCTTAGGAGTAGTTCGATTTCCTATTCTTATATATTGTATTAGCGTCTTATCCCCTTGTTACATGGAATTATGATCAACTTGATACCATAACTACTGAAAAGTACGCTTATCCGTCAATAATGATATTGAAAAAATATTTAAAAAACGTGCTTTCAGAGTTGCAAATTTCGCAAAATCTTCGATCGGGCATTTTTTATTTTTATTTTATGTAAACTTGATTGATGATTGATACAGCCTAGACTGGTAACTAATTTTCTGTTAGATGATCTTAGTGGTTGAAAGAAGAAAGGAGCTTAAGACAAGCTTCAGACCCCGAGCCAAGCCTTGGGAATAGCGGGACAATACTACAATGCAAAGAATGAGAATGGTAATAACATCTAATTCTACAAGGACCTGCGAAGATAAGAATGAATAATGGTAAAATATCTGATTCCGCAACGACCTGATTCTAATATAAGAGCCTAGAAACTACAATCTGCATGTGCATTTGAAACTATTTATCATTGATTTTTTTTTTTTTTTACAAAAACTAACTCATGTTTCCCCTTTATTTTCGCTTGTTTGAGTTTTTCCTTTAATTGCTTGTCGTCCCATATATAATAAATAAAGATAGTTAATTAATTTCTTTTTTTTTAAATAATACATATGATTTTTTTTAAAAAAATGACAATAAAATTTCTCTAAATTATATAAATGATAATTTAATCTTTAAAATGTCATAATTTAATGAAGTTCCTAAAGACAACTTTATTAATAAATTTTAAATTGAAAAAATAATTTTATCTTTATTGATAAATTATAATTTCTTATTTAATTTTTGTGATTTATTGAATAAAAGTTATGAATGAAATTTACTATTATAAAAATTATTTTTTAATAATAAAAATTATACTTGATAAATTGTAATTTCTTATTCAACTCTTGCTATTCACAAAATAACAATTATTATTTTTTAAACAAAATTTTTAATTAGGGCTTGTTTTTTAATAACCAAAATTACACTTAATAAATTATAATTTTTTGTTTAATTCTTGTAATTTATAAAATAAAAGTTGTAATTCTTTAAACAAAAGTTATGATTGGAGTTTATTATTTTTAGTTAAGGTAAAATAATTTTTTTATTTTAAAATTTATTGACACAAAGATCTCAAGAATTTCATTGAAATCATAACATTCTGAGAGACCAGATTGATATTTATATAATTCGTTCGGATTTTCTTGTTATATCCTCCATTTTACCATAAAAATAATACTCCCTCCATCTCAAATTATAAAATATTTTTAGACAAAATCTCACATGTCAATAAACCTCATTAAATACACTTAACAACTTTATCTTTTCAAAGCAAAATATAAAATTTTAAAAATACCCATCATTTAATATATTGAAAAGAGAAGAAGTGAAAATTAATTATAGAAAGAATAGGTAATATTGAAATTGATATATTTGATGAAACCTTAATCTATTTAAAATATCTTATATTTTAGAATGGAGAATTTTTTTTTAAATGTCTTATAATTTGATACGGATGGAGTACATATGATTAAAACTGATTAAGAAAAATCAACTTTAATTGACATGAGTGGTAAAATCAATATATATACACAATATTCTTGGGAGGGATTTGTTTTTATCATTAATATTATAGGGGAGATGATATTTATTATTAACGAGGATTACTCCTTGTATTTGCAAAAAAATATTAAGAAAATAATTTTAAAGAAATTATGATATATCAAATTTCAATGGACTAAATCATATTTTTCTGATAAGATAAAATAAAATATAAATTCAATATAGTTTACTCAATAATAACTACACCCTTTTGCAACTTCAATAACCATATGTTTTCACACATGGATGTGAGGGTTTAAAAAAAAAAAAAAAAAAGAAAGTGCCCAAAAATTATGTGTTTGCTTTTTAGCAAAAATTAATTTGGGAATTTAATTATTTGTTAAATTTAATAAAAGTACATTTCAAATGTGATTTGAATATATTTTTTAGAATTACCCAAACAAATCCTAAAAAATACAATAAAAGCACAATAATTTTGATTTTAAATATATATATTGATGGATTGATTTCGGAACATTCATTCTAACCTTAACTCAATTTTTATTAAAAAAAATCCGCCTATATATAATATTTATATTTATAATTTATAATATATATCTCTAAGATTAAATTAAGTTATATCTATGTTAACACAGGATGGCTTCTTGAAGATACGTTTTTGTTGAACGAAAGAGTGGCTTGTAAAGTAAGGTCTAGATAAATCCAAATAAAAATAAAGGCAAGGTGTTGAAATTGGTTCTGAACGTCGTGTACATGCTGAGGATCACGGGAAAGGACGGAGGAGAGTGGAAGGGTCAACATCAAAAGAAACATTGGCGCTTCGTGGCAATTTTTTTTTCGTTTCGGTGTGGGGTTGAATCCTGGTTTCATGGGTCCAGCTCGGCCTCATCCTCTGCAAAATTCAAAACATGGAATGCCAAAAGTACAGACAACATAAAGCTGACGCACGTGAACCCAGCGTGAAAAGCACGTGAACTGGGGGCGACCACTCACAAATTCTACCCCTTGGCGATGTGATCCCTGAGGGAAAGGGCGTGACTCCGTACCCTCCCCCTCCCCAATCCCCAATCATGGTGGCGTTTTCGAAAACTACCCAGCCCCTGTGCGGGCCCCACCATCCTACTCAGTCCACCCACATCTTAAGTTTCCTCCTTTCTCTTGTGGATCCGCCTCTCCCTCTTCAATCCAATTCTCTATTAGCCTTACCTATCCTTCCTCTAGTTTACCAAACCGGGTATTGACAGTGACGATCCACCCCCAGAGATCTTATCCTTATCTTTGAATGAACTCCAATTCGAAATAAGGGTGCCCACTATTTAGTATAGCACTTCCTTTCTGCTGCCCAAGAAAAGATATTTCATAGGATTATTGACCTCTATTATTTTTTCTTCTTTGCTGAAATTTTAATTTGTGTTGTTCAAGCTATCGGAAAAATAAGGTGGTCCACTGGTCCCACTTTAGTCCAACCCCATTTCTTTGGTACGTACCCCTCATAATCTGACAGATACAAACTGCATGAGTTTTGTGGACACCTTCGCGTGTACTAGCAATTGAATTGAGACACGATAGGCTTCCAGATTATCGTCTGAGAACCACATCTTTTGTTATTAATCTAGCATTCTAGTTGCCGCTCCCTTACCGCGTGGAACCCAACATTCTGCTTACGTACCATCAACGATCTGGGAACTCTGGTCTCTGCTTCCTCCAAGTTCTTTTTGCAGCCCTACTAAATTGGATGTTGAATCTCACCGCCTTTCAATAAGAGGAAAAAAGGGAGTTTGAGAGTATCTAGCTAGCGGAGGAGGTTAGTTGCTATGTAATATAAAGCGTACGTCAAGTGTCAATCAGAAAGAGAACACAGATGGCAGAGAGCAGCCAATTGTTATAGCTATCGGTTAGAGCACCTTCCGTTGCCTCTGTTATTGTTCGATCTACTCTTCTGGAATCCCATATATTGAATGGCAGAGAAGCAGAATGAGTCAATCAGCCCAGGAATCACAGGCAGCTCCTCCCATGTTGCTTCCGTGTAAGTTACTGTTACTCTTGATCTCTGTGAATTTACAAATGTCTGATCTTTCCTTTTTCAGTTAAAAATTAAAAAAAAAAAAATCCATTTGAAGTTAGCAGCTGGAATGATGGATACGAATACATGATGTATTGCAGGTACGGCAATGATTTTGTTGAGCTGGTTTGGCAAAGTGGCCAAATTCTGGTGCAAGGAGGGTCATCGAGCAGAACACTGAAGAGACCCTCGTGCATTGGCTATTCCATAAATCCCTCCCATGAAGCTTACGACGAGGATACCTGCGTCACAAAACGTGCAAGGTTAAACACTTTGTACACGCTTTTGGACTCTTCACATCAAAATTCCCGACAAACTAATGGCCCGTGTTCATATCCGTTTGATTCGAAATGCACCGAAAGCAATAATTTTGGTAATAAACCTGGGGATGAGTTATCCACATTAATAGTAGAAAGAGAATCTATGTCCAAGCCCACCAGGGGGAATACTCAGTTATGCTCGACTTCCTTACAGACCCAGAAGCATGACTCGGGATATGATCAAAGAGTTGGAAAGATTAATTTCTCCAACTTCCTAAGACCTGCATTGTTTTTCAAATCTACTTGTCAGGGAAACAGTGCAGCTCGGCACCCAAACACTGCCGTTTCGGCTAGAGCGGAGGAGATCAAAGCAACTGATGGTGGTAGTATCAAAGCTCTTGATCATTCTGTTGTGATTGACTCGGCTAAGGGATCACATATTCTCAACGGAGTTCACCCTGGCCGGACAGCTTTTACTTCTAATAAAGCAAACTCAACAACACCCTTTGATGCAAAAAAGGATCAGGAACCACTCCCTGATGAGCAATCCGAAGCTGTTGGATACGATAGGGCCCTGAAGGGTCAGGGATCACACGGTCAATATCATCAAACTCACAGTAGAAAAATAAAAACAGCTGCTGAGTTTTCTAGTGCACCCTTGGTAGCATCTTCCTCTTTATGCTCGCTTGGAGCCTCGAACGACCCTACCCTACATAGTAGGAAACACGAGGACACCGACGACTCAACCTATACAAGTGATGTAAGTGGAATTCTGGAACCCTAGCTGGATTATATTGACCCTTTTGCAACATGTTTTAGTTTCCGTGATTCTGAGCAACCTGGCCATCGTTGTGCAGAATGATGAAGAAACAGAAGACACGGTAAAGGAAACGTCGGCTCGAGATGGTTCAAGAGGCAAGAGAATCAGGAACACGCAGATGCATAATTTATCGGAGAGGGTGAGGGAGGAAATAATTATATATATATATAGGATAACAGAAGATAATCTTATTGAAGTGTTATTAATTATTCATCGTAATTGATTGTTTTGGATTTTTGCAGAAGCGAAGAGATAAGATTAACAAGAAGATGCGTGCATTAAAAGAGCTTATACCTCATTGCAACAAGGTATATAATTTTCCCAACAAAATTATTAGTGAAAAGGAGCAAATTCGAACCCTTACACGTGGGTTAAACATTATATAATATTATTTAATAAGTTTTGATAATTAATGAAGACATTTGTCGTTACTTTAATTATAATACTTGATTGGTTTTGTGTGTATGGGTGTTAATCAATTAGATGGACAAGGCTTCCATGCTGGATGATGCTATCGATTATCTGAAGACCCTCAAGCTTCAGTTGCAGGTAAAGTTAGAATGTTTCCACTAATCAAGATGTTTAATTAGGACCCTAATATTGATTTGGATGTGTTAAGTATAATTAAGGCTCATTTAATGAAGATACCTAATGGATATATACATGCAGGTATTGTCAATGGGAAGTGGGGTTTGTATGCCTATGATGATGTCGATGTTAACAGCAGGAGGTTGTGGGCATCAGTTAGGTATGAGGCCAGGCATAGGCATGCCTTGCAGCCTCCCTCCTCATCAGTTTGGTAGTGGCAGTATTCTTCCGCAGGTCCCCCCTCACCCTCACGCCATCGCTAACAATAGTCTTCATCAAATGCTTCCTGGTTTCCCCAATCAAATGCTTCCTAATATTCAATTCCCAATGACCCAATCACCTTTCATTTCTATGCCTCCCAAGCCTATGCAACCCTACCTCTCTTCCCACCTAACCACTCTTGATCACGACTCTGACCTTAATGCACAGTTCGTTTCTCCTATGCCAAAATCTACTCAGGTTTGTTCCTTTTCCACCCTTTATTTGATTTCTTCCCATATATAATATAATGGACTACGACACACATAATTCTATGTCATTAAAGAGTGGTGGAAAGGGCTACTACAATCTCGCAATATGAAGTACATGTAGTACCAATTGGATTAAACTTCTCTTCATGTGTTTTGATTTTGATCTGTTTACTTTGAGAGACCTTAAACCCAAATTACATTGTGTAAACGAAGGTGGGGGCCCTTTTTCCCACCATTTTTTAGTTGTGGTTCCTAAATTGATACATTCAATTAATTTTCAAGTCATTGAAGAGGATTAACGAGTGGTGGAAATGGCTATTGCAATCTCGCAATATGAAGTACATGTAGTACCAATTGGTTAAACTTCTCTTCCTGTTTTTTGATTTTGATCTGTTTACTTTGAGAGACCTTAAACCCAAATTACATGGTGTAAACGAAGGTGAGGGCCCTTTTTCCCACCATTTTTTAATTGTGTTTCCTAAATTGATACATTCAATTAATTTTCAAATAGGACAAATAGATAATTTTGGAAACAAAATAATTTCACCGTATAAGGCTTAAAACCTGACCATTTCAGCCCTTCCCGACGCCAAAATAGGCTTTTGGAATTTACTTTCTTACATGTCTCTCAGAGTTAGGCTTGATTGGCCAATTGTGATATTAGAACTGAGAAGTTGAACACATTACTATGTAGAGCAAACTTCTCGTTCATGATTCAGACTAGAATGGTTTAACTTTTATTCCATTGTTTGAGCGCCGTACAGCGTTGCGTGCGTGTGTGAGGGTGTTATCAGTTTTTTCTTATTGTTATATATTATTATTTGGCTAACTTATGTGCTTACCATTAATGCTCGTGTTATGCAGGGATCAAAGTGAAAATATGCTGTACAGATAGCTTCGGTGCAACGTTTAGACAGTGAATGGAGTTTGAACTCACTGCTGATCAAATCGATTATCAGGATAAAGCAGTCTGACCAGCTGTCCCGGCGTACAATAGCAATAATCGCAGAATGATAGAGCAGTTTGAAGTTTTTATTAGTAACATATATATATATATATATATATATATTGGCGACAAGCAACGATATTCACACATTCATCATAGACATTTTATATTTAGCACTACCTTGTCAGTTTCTTTATTTCTTTCTTTTCCCCCCTTTTTGGGGGAAAACTCTATCGTTGCTTCTAATGAACTAATTTCTTGTTGCATTAATGTTCTGGACTATTTTTCCTCCATTTGCTGACTAATAATGAAGACGTTCGAGTACCGTTGTCCCCCCCCCCCCTTTTTTTTTGTGAAGATGCAAGTTGATTACATAAAACAGAACTACATATACACAGATAAAGATGAAAAGAAATAAAAAGCACTTGAGAAGGGTTCCTGAATATTTATTCCGAAACTAACATTGTGGCAAAAACATTTACAAATACAAGATAAAGAGGGATCCCACACAATATTGCATACTCAGAGAGTATTGGAGCTTGTGTGGGTGCATCAAAAGAATAAGTCCCACATTATCCGAGTGAAAGGAACTCCAAATACCTAGATAATAAGGTGCGAAATTAGACGAATAAATAGGTCGAACAGAAGTGATGTCCAATCACCTCGTGTAAGAGTTCGACCCACAACTGGTCACTTTCTGCCAAAATAAACTAATGTTATATTAAATATTTAATTAGCATCTTTAATCGCGCAAAGTCTTTGTCCAGTAAACATCTAACCTAATTTTAAATCTAATTATTGTATTTAATAACCGGTGTTCAAAGGCAGATATGAAACTTGTCACCAGCGTTCAGAGGAGATTTGTCTATGGCGATTAACTACGTGAAACTGGTGGTTTAATCATGATTAATTGTGCTCAATGGTACTGTTTGGTCTCTCCCCTGTAAAAGGCAGCGGTGACCGCCAGCTCTCAGGATAATTTTTATTAGGGATGTACTTCCCGTTCCCAAATTTCCATCAAAATTACAATTGTCTGACTTGTAATGAAGAAAAATAGCCACCGGGAAGGAGATATCGATTTCCATGAGGAAAGAAACTTGATGGTTGAAACAATACATTACATTGTGATTGACAGGTTAAGATGGTGCTTACTGCCCGCCATCTGAACCAGCAAGCCGGTAGGTTCGCAAATAATTCTGTCTGGATATTACTGTAAATCTGTAACTACGTCCAACGGAGGCGTGGAACCAAATTCATACGATGTCATGTCATCCAAAAATTTCTGTTCTGAAACAGTATTAATTCAAAAATAAAAATAAAAAAAGAATAATTTTCCTCGCAAAATAATAAATGATGATGGAAAAATGAGTTGTGAGTAAGACGTAAATGTGTCTTTATATTTATTTATTCACTGACAATATTTATAGCTTACCTCGATTTTAAATCTTGTCTTGTCTTTTTTGAATTGGGCCCAATTCAAGCAAAACAAACTATAGAGACCTGACTTAAAAATGAGATAAATTATAAGAATCCATCCATTAATTTTAAGTTGCATATCTTTTTTTGTTTCAAAAAATCGTATATAATTTTTTGCAAAATGATGATAATTCTTGAGAAAATAATCAAAACATAGACAGGTGCATCAACCACTTTTGATCCCCAGAGAATAGTAGTTACCTGGAAATCGACTATCACACCATTGGTCCTTTAGCCACAAATAAAGCATAACAACCATTTCCAGTTTGATGGAACATTCAGGCTAACGCAGCTTCCATTTCTGGAATGTTTGATTGTTTCTCTAGCTTGGACTCCGACAGATCGTCCGAGAGCTTCAGATTCGAGAAAGCATCGTTCATAAATTCAGTGGCTGCTGCAGTTTCTTTTCCTTCTCTGTCAGTGAACACGTTTTCAGGCTCAGGTACTCCAGCCTCGTCGCCAACCGCCAGCTCTAACTTCTTGAACTCCTCTTCAACATCTTCTTCCTCAAAATCCGCGTATGATGGACTTCGTTCTGACATTGCTAAAAAGAAATATGGTTAAAAGACAAAGAATCCCAAATAAAAACATCATATATACAGCTCCAGTCTCTAAACATAACCACTTTACCAAAGATGCCATTCAATCAATTCCCCCACTTTAATGGAGAAAAATACCTTATAGCAACATTCCATTATAAAAATGAAAAGGCACACTTCAAAATCGTGGCCCCTCGAGATAATGATCCAATATATACCTAGCGCCCTTTCAACTTCCCTTTGCGAATAAATGCTCTCTTTGATATCTCTTAAACAAACATCCAATTCCTCTGCACTGATCTTCTTTTCTTTCATTGCTCGGGCTCCTGACACCATGGCTTCAGAAACCTGCTAGCAAAGTCCAACCAATCATCAAATGTAAGACTAGCCGCAGTTCAGAACAACCTTCACATTCTGAAATTAACCGATCTTATTACAAATGGGTAGTTCAAATGCTCAGGGATTATATCAAAAGCTAGACCTTTTTTGTGGATTCAGCATCAGCAATAACACCAAGTACTTCCTCTACTCTGTTCAAAAGTGATGAACATTTCTCTCTACTCTGGGTGGCCACCTTAAGCTCCCTAGCATACCTGAGAGCCAATTTTCTGTTTCCAGAATGTAATGAAGCTAGTGCTGATTTTCTTGACCTGAAACGAAATATAATAAATCCGTGAGACAACTGAATTTATTTTGAGCAAACATCACTACACTGGAACTGCAGCAGAACAACCGAAAAGTGAAAACTAAGAAGACGTTGTATTAAATGAATTATACGAACCTACAGTGGTATAAAGATATGAGGCCCAGGACACGAGAGAAGTTTACTTTTTACTTTCTCTTGGACGTTTTTCTTCCCAGAAGTCACTCCTATACTAGTAGATAAAATCATGAGGACTTACAATTCATAACGTTGGTCAATCACATCAAGTTGTTGCTGAAGCCTCTCAGTTGTCCAAATCAAGTGCAGAACATCATAATCTAAATTAGACGTCCCCGATAAAGCTGCTGTTGAAAGAGAAATTTTGATACCCTGTAAACACAAACTTGAAATAAAAATGCCAAGTATTTCAGGTATAAAATTCAAATACTATATTTTGCCCTCAGTAAATGAAACAGTCTTTGCTCAGCATTAAGAATAGCCATATAAAGGATGAAGCCCAAATTTTTTTTTTTAAAGCATTATTTTCTCCCCTTATATGGATTTAACAATATCTAACACCCACAACCTTCCGCAGTATCTATTCTTGTAGAAAAGTGGTACTTTTTGATAGCCAGAAGCCAAGAATAACTTGGGCAAGTTTCTGCTCCCCAAGAATATACCATACCTCTACAAGTTCTTTCTTACAGACTGAAATATACTTTGCTTTTCCGCACCCTGCCAGGTACCTCAAGATTGCAGATGTCTCATCAGGTCCTCCGCATACCTCTTGGAATTTCTTCATTGTTACAATACATGATGAATTCCAGTGACTTTCAGATAGAAGTTTGATAACTTCAGCTGCCTTATCCTAAACATCAAGAAATAGAAATGTAATAAGAGAATAAAAGACTTAAAGTAATGGCATGGCAGACTCCATCATAGCTCATTGACTAGCTTATACTGGCATCGCATTGAAGCCAATGGTTAAACAAAAAATACAGATATCAACACATCAATTACTACTCTTACTATATAATTTTAAAATGTACTCAGCGTTACTCTATAATAAAATACATCTCTTCCTCTGCAACTCTTAGAAGTTCATAAGAAAGCACAACTCTGCTAGAAAGTAGTTTCCATAAGCTAAAGGAAAACGTAAAAGAGCGCTAACAAAAAGAACATTGATGCTACAAGTATTCAAAAGTTAACATCAATAATATATCAAAGAGTGGCTGCAGCTCAAGGACAAGCACAAGAAATTTGATGCCTCTTAAGGTATAAAATTCCAAATACTAATTTTGCCCTGTAAATGAAACAGTCTTTGCTCAGCATTAAGAATAGCCATATAAGGATGAAGCCCAAATTTTTTTTTTTAAAGCATTATTTTTCTCCCCTTATATGGATTTAACAATATCTAACACCCACAACCTTCCGCAGTATCTATTCTTGTAGAAAGTGGTACTTTTTGATAGCCAGAAGCCAAGAATAACTTGGGCAAGTTTCTGCTCCCCAAGAATATACCATACCTCTACAAGTTCTTTCTTACAGACTGAAATATACTTTGCTTTTCCGCACCCTGCCAGGTACCTCAAGATTGCAGATGTCTCATCAGGTCCTCCGCATACCTCTTGGAATTTCTTCATTGTTACAATACATGATGAATTCCAGTGACTTTCAGATAGAAGTTTTTGATAACTTCAGCTGCCTTATCCTAAACATCAAGAAATAGAAATGTAATAAGAGAATAAAAGACTTAAAGTAATGGCATGGCGACTCCATCATAGCTCATTGACTAGCTTATACTGGCATCGCATTGAAGCCAATGGTTAAACAAAAAAATACAGATATCAAAACATCAATGTACTACTCTTACAGTCTATGTCCTGCAGCGTTACTATATAATTTTTAAAATACATCTCTTCCTCTGCAATTGGCAGTTCATAAGAAAACAAACTCTCTAAAAAGTAGTTTCCATAAGCACTAAAGGATGCTGGACGTATGGAAAGAGCGCTAACAAAAAGAACATTGATGCTACAAGTATTCAAAAGTTAACATCAATAATATATCAAAGAGTGGCTGCAGCTCAAGGACAAGCACAAGAAATTTGATGCCTCTTAAACAAGATCTTTGCTTCGAACCTTGTAGATATTTAAAAAAAAAAAATGCTGAGAGCAATCCTCAACTGGAGCCCAACAATATTTGAATCAAATTAGTCATTAGAACTGAATACCATATATGTTGTCGCCAAATAAAAAGAAAGAAAGAACATAGATGACCATTTTGACATATCATCATCATCGAAAGAGATAAAATTTTGTGAAGAAGATGCAGATATTTTCTGAAAATTTTTGCAAATCTTCAGTGCTAATGCATATCAAACATCAGAATTCGACAGATTAAAAAAAAAAAAATCATAAGGATGAAAGAAAAACTCCAGAATTAAAAGGACAGCTAGTCACCTTAACCAGCGTGGTTATGATGAAAGGTTCTTCGGATATAGTTCCTGAGCTGTTGTTGACCTTATTATTATAGTTGCTTACTTTTCTGAATAATTGGGAGAGTTCTCCACTAGTAGGATCCACAAGATCAGCAGTTCTTGCGATATCACACCTTCATATACATTAGAAAACTGAAAATTGAAAATGTAAAAACGAAACCAAACATGAAAGCATAGAAATGATTATAGATGGCAACTTAAGTTGGGGAGAGAACCGTTGAAAGAGTGGGGCCATCGTTCACTAAGTTGAAAGCATAAATCTACAAAAATAAAGTTTTCTAAAACAAAAGACCTTGCTAAATATAAATATGGTCCAATATAAGCTTATACTAACATCATTTGATGGTTTATCGGAGAGAGAATGCTTTGTTCCCCTACGTAGCTACTTTACAACCTAGCTAACAAAAATCTGCCCGCCACGAAGAAATGATGAGAATAATATCATTACGAGCAAAAATCAAAGAGAAAAGCCAATCCCCTAACATTACACTGACACTTATTACAGACATTTTATTTAAATTTAAAATAAATTATTTTTTGAAAAAAATGCAGCCCAGCGGGGCTTCTGGTTAGTTCACTATAAGGCACTGTACCAGGCAACTTATAGAAATCCATGAAGCAGCTCAACACGCAGCATACAAGCAAGAGTCTGCAAGTGGAGGATTTGCGACTAACATAACAGATGGATATAGTGAAAAAAGCTTGCACTCACCAATACATGGTCTAGACATAAAGGAGTCAAGCCTCCTCGATTAAACCAACCATTCTTGACCTGCAATGAAGCATTGTTCAAACAAGAGCAAACCAGAAACCGAAATAAAAAGCACTTAATAGGGTAAAAGCAAACAAATTATGCCACAATTGAGAATAAAACGAAAAAAGAAATAAAACCTCGGAAGGACGAATAATAAAGAGCCCAAAATGTCGGGCGATTTTGATGATCAAATCCCTCCAGAAGAGGAATTTTATTGCCAATCCGATCTTTGGCCGCTAAAAGCCTTGAAACGGGCCGAGGCAACTACTTCATCGTCCCAATCAGGCACCTCCGATAAATGAAATTCTTCACGGTCATGCTATTGGGATCCATCTTTGCATTTCTTTTAGCAGAGTCGCGATGTTACCGCGCTCTCTCGCAAAACTCCTCAACTTCCACTCCAAATCACTGTATTAGGGTTTCCAATCCCCGAAATCCGAAGCAATAACCGGAACGTCAACGAGACAGCAGCGCACAACGACCCGGTAAGTCTGGTTAACACGGACCGTCCGGGGCAAACAGATTCGGATCGGATCCCGGGGAAAGCGGACAGCCCCGAAAAAGTGAACTTGGGCGGGGGGTGTCCAGATCCTGACGGGCCGAATCCTGCGAGGCATGCGGATCAAAACCGTTCGTGTAATCAAATCATCCATATAAAGCCACGTCATTTGAGTACTTTTGGACCCATCCCTTTTCATTTCTACAACTCGTTTCCACTAACCTGTCCGATTGCCGAGGAGGGAAGGGGAGGATTAAAATTTCTTCTCTCTCCCCTCGGGAGGAATTCCTCTCTTTTCACCCCTCTGTTCTAGAAATCTTAACCTTTGAAATTGAATAAATTTTATTTCATGCTATCATGAAGTTATTAGCATTATTCAAGTGATGGGATTGTGCTTTCATAAATGATGTCAGAAAATAAATGTTTACACTAATTGTGCTAAGACGACTTGATCTTGCAGTTTCATGATGAAAATCATCCTTTTAAAGATATTATTCATTATGCTAGATTTCTTATGTATGAAAACATTCATGTTTCTTAGAGTTTTTATCTAGAGAGACAAGTTGTTGTGCTCGTTTGGTAACTAGCTTTGCTTCCAATATTACTGGGTCATTTTTATTCTTTTGATCAACTCTTACCTTACTATAGGGAGGTGGTGAATGATGATAAGAAAGTATCGTCAACTATATAATGAGATTACCATATTGGTTAATACGTTCCTTTCCATTCACAAAAAGAAAATATGAACCCCTTTAATCAATTTTTTAAATTCATTGAGCGTTCTATCATGAATATAATTTATTAAAATAAAAATTTATAAATTATTTTTTATTACTCATAAGTGTCTTTTTATTGGAGGTAATCTTATTCAATGTACATTCGAGCGCTAAATATGAGCATCCCCAATAGAGATTCAATACTTGGTTCATCACATTATGAGATATTAGCCCCTTCTGTTAAACTCAATCCTTTTTTGTTTAAAAATTCATAAATTATAAAAAATTTAATGAATATGCTCATCACCGATCTAAATAATTTAGATTTAATCTGAATAATTCAATTTTAATATAAAAAATTTTATAATTTTATAAATTGACAGTTTAAATGTACCTTGAAAACTAGATAGTCAAGATTTAAAATTTTTTAATTTTAATTATTTTAAAAAATATTTTGAAATTTTATTGTTGAGAATTATCTTTATTTTTAATATATATTTATCAAAATAATAAATCTATAAAATTTTAATATAAATTTGAATCATTCATATTAAATTTGAACTGGTCTTATAATTTATATAAACTAACTATTCAAATTTACTTTGAAATCTGGATAGTTTGTGTTTAAATTATTAATTTGTAACTTTTAAAAAAATATTTTTAAAAAATAATGTCTTTATTTCTAATATTATATTCATCAAAATAAAAAATATAAAATTATAAAGACATTTTAATATTAAATCAGACTGGCTTGAATAAATTAGATAATAAATATATAAAAAATTAATATAAAATTTGAATCATTCATATTAAATGTGATGAGCCATTGGTGATGAACAGATTTATTAATTCTTTTATTTTTTATTTTAAGTATAATAAAACAGTAATTAAAACGTATAAAAAACGTAATGAAAGGAGTTGGTAGAAATAAGAAACACGTGGGTTCAAGGTTCCCAAATGATGTGGCTTAATGTAGATGGTTGGATTGCATAAATGACTTAGGTTTATATGATGTGCAAGGACTAGTACTGGGAATACGAGTTGCAGGTTAGCTCATGAGCTAGCTCACACAATTTGATCATTTCACATGACAGGGTCGGTTGCCCCATAGTAAAAAAAAAAAGGGTTAGAAAATTCAACATAACCTCTATATGTATAGGCTAGCAGGTTCACAAGCTGGCCCCTTTTTAAAAAAAAATATATTTGATGATTGTTGAATCCATTATAAAAGCAACTTACTTAGCTCAAAGCATAACCACGATGAAAAAGAGTTTGGCTCAGCTTTAAAAAAAACTATCGTGGTTAAAGAAAACAAATCCATAAATTTTAGCTATCAAAGCTATCTTAAGTATTCAAAACGAATAGGCTTAAAGCAAATGAAGCTCAAATCACATGACAACCATAAAACTCAATTTCCATTCTCAAATCCCTTCTCATAAAATACCTTTCACATTTCAAAATATCATTGTACTCAAACATCTCAACACATGTGGATCCATATAAACAACCACTAACAGACAATCCGAACAATAGGAAATCAACAATATCAAATGTATAAAAATTATCAAAGTATATGCACATGAGCCCTAAATGTGGCAAGATACAGTAATTCAATCCATAAGTAAAGGAAAAGACAATATAAGTCAACACAAGATTAAGCCTCCAAAAACTTTCCAATAGATTACCATGTGAACTTTCACCTGTAAATTGTTAAGCAACGGGAGGTGAGACAATATCTTAGTAACTAGCAATCCTACCTACCATACACACTAACACATGCTTGTGAGGTGCCAAGTAGGACAGTTATAAAATATTTAACCAATTAATCAATCATCACATGCTAATATGTACCAATCATACATATCAAAATGCATGACCTCTGACCATCTTTATATCCTCTTTATTTCCTCCGGTTGAACCGATGGGCTAAGTCAATATTTATGTCACTGGTTACTCCAACAAGCTCTTCGATTGAGTGGTGTAGGTTAGCCAAAACTCACAACACACATGACCAAACCATAAGTTCCCCCTTATTGAACCAATAGGGTACCGTAACCTTAAACTAGTCTCCTTATAAAATCAATAGAGATAGGTTAGGGTGATGTCCCTCAGCAAATAATACGACAGTCCCTCGATGAACAAGTGGGACATGAGTGGGCCAACCATCAAGCTCTGAATGATGGCCTTACTATGTGAATTTTATGTCACTACTCCCCTCAAGGCGAACTCCCACCCTTAATATGGTCATGCAAACAATCACATGTAGCATACCTCAATTCTCAATTTTGTCGTGCTTAACGCGCATAACATACCATCACATAAAACCACAATTTAACTTTCAATAATTACACATTCATTTTCAATTCAATTATTGCGTTAGTATTCCATAACAATTTCTCAACACAAAAACATAAGTCCCACAGACAATTTCACATATCAAAGTAGAATTTTCCATAATTGGCTTATGTTCTTGTTTCATCAAATGTATCATGAACTTTTCAATATTACTTATCAAATCATCCATTTAAAAATAACTCACAAACACACACTAGTATGTACAATAAGTAGGAAAGTGATTACCTTTTCCTAAAGCTAATAAAAGTACCATAATTCTTGAGAATCCCATGTTTAAGACTGTAATCAAAATAAATCTATATGAGTTATATAAATAATCATTATTAGTGCATAATTTTTCAAGAGATAGTTAAACTAATACATAAACTTAAAATCCCAATTATTACCATTTGGTTTTATATCACGTCTAATTCCTAATTATCATTTAGCCTTATCAACTCAGTTGAATCTTCAATAATCTATTTCAAATTTTCAATTGATCCTAACTCTGAATTTCCCTTTTCAAAGTTTGATCCAAAATTACCATATTCATTAGTGGCTAACGAAGTTAATAATACAATGGGTAATTAAACCAAAATTCTCAATTCTCATCTCAAATTCACAAATTCTTCATTTTAATCCTAAATTCAATATTTTCTTAGCTCCATCACTCATTGAAAAGCCTCAATTTATCATTAAATCCTCCAATTATACAAAATAAAAAAAATTTCTTGACTAACAGTTAACTTTAATACACATACATGCAAAATTCAAGTGTAACCAATGAATCCCACAATTCTAACCATCTCATAACATTTTATTTATTCCCAAATCATTTTCAAAAATTATAAGAAAGCTTAAAAGTTTTTATTTTTATAGTTATGTCAAAAAGTCTTTTTTAAAGCTAAGAATCTCGAGTACTTAACGGGAACTCAAATCAAATTCAATTTTTATAAAAATTTAAACATGACATCCTTATTAGTTAAAGTTTCTAAGCAAAATAATTTCTTAACAAAATATTGTCTAGATTGCTCATACTAAAAATATCTTAAAAATTTGCATTAATTAATCCATAAATAAAAAATCACTCAAACTTCTGATTTATACCAAAAATCAATTTTTAACAAGTGTTTCTAAGCGACCCATAACTAATTATCAAAGTTTAAATCAATAATCGACTCAAAAATTTAAAATCCTTTTTGCTAAGCTCTGGGGCTTGAGATAAAATGACAATATATCAATCTTCAACATTATTAAACCAACTTTCTAACCTTATTCAACTCCCCAAATCATAAATCAACTGCTAATTAACCTAAGCATATCAAACTTCCAACCTCAAGTTTTCATTCAGTCTAGAAAAGAAAAACTCCCAATAAAACTTGTAGTAAAGAAAATGAGTCATTTCCAACTTGTAGGTGCCTAATTCTTCCTTTTTCTTATTCTTCTTTTTCGCCCTCCATTCTTCTTCTCTCCCTCTCAATTGCACTCTCGTCTCTCTCTCTCCCTTCGGTGCGCACTGATAGATGAATGAAGGAGTAATTTTCAACAAATACATTATAGTGGGAGAGAAAGTTATTTGCACATAGATTGTGCGCCCATCAGCCAATACTTTTATTTTCATTAATGTAATAACAATTTTCCTTTTCTCACTTTCTCACTTTCTCTTTCTATTTAAAATTTCTCTTTACTTTTATATAATTGTTTTGGCTTTAGATGACTTGAAAATCTCTTGCATAATTTAACTGTAATTTTTTAATACTCTTAAAAATCTAAAGTATTTAGCTCTACTAATATATATTTTACCCAAATATAATTTTTATAATATTAAATAATTATAATCTCTTTAGTGAGATGGAAATTTCCATATTTCTATTTAATCTCATTTATGCCATTATTTTCTTCCCCATTCTAAAAAAATTATTGTTTCTAAACCTCAAATTATATTTAAAATTGTAACTTAAAATATCAATTTACTAATCATTAAGGGTCTAGGAAAATAGAATGTTACACGAAAGGTGATGTCAATCAGTGAGTATAAGTGGGAAAATGAGAGGAAG